ATCATTCTCTACTGCAACATAACACATTCGTTAATTGTAGAGACAACGTCTGAGACTTCTGTTTGTAATACAATCAACCCGTTGAAGTTTCATGCTCCGACATCTCTCTTGTTCGTCTTGACGAATTCTACTCACCACTTAAACGTCAGATCTGTATTTGCTGCAACTACGAGCTAAACCAGTGATTTCACCCAATCTCCAAGATTTGATTTCAAGAAAGTGACTATGTTGGTTTTTATCGTTACTTGCCAGCCGCTGATTCGTCACAAATTACTGATTGATTGATATGTGGGGTTTAACGTCCCAAAACCACAATATGATTATGAGAGACGCCGTAGTGGAGGGCTCCGGAAATTTCGACCACCTGGGGTTCTTTAACGTGCACCAAAATCTGAGCACACGGACCTACAACATTTCCGCCTCCACCGGAAATGCAGCTGCCGCAGCCGGGATTCAATCCCGCGACCTGCGGGTCAGCAGCCGAGTACCTTAGCCACTAGACCACCGCGGCGGGGCACGTCGCAAGTTACTCACAGACCAAATGTTAACGACCAGGTTTAGAAGCTTACGGAACTGTATTAAACAGAATGCTTAAGTTTATTCCGCAATATACACCTAAATATTGTAAATATCCTCACTGGTTCTCCCCTGAACTTATAAGTGCGCTTAAGCATAAAGATTGTGCGCACAAGAAGGCTAATGTTTTCCGTTCTCCTGTGTGAGTGCGCATATGCACGATAAAGTGGCATTTTTTCGTAAAGGATGCCTTGCAGTGCGTACAGGAGAAGGGATGCTCTCCTGTATGAGTACGCATATGCTCAATAAAGTGGCCTTTCAGCAAAAAGATTGCACTACAGCGGGCACAGGAGAAAGGCTGCTCTTTTGTGTGGGTGTGCACATGAGTTGCCAGCTTGGACTTATGAATGAATGCAGCTGGACAAAAGTGGCACTGGAAAGGAGGCTCGCCCATGTGTTTCTGAAGGTGCTTGCTCATGGTTGACTTGTCCAGGGTCACATAGGTGCACTGCTGGCAGAAATGATGTCGGCCTCGTACAGACGACAGTGAATAAAGCTGTTCCAAGGACCCACAGGATAAGGGGCCTGCAAAAGCAATCAACAGCACACCAAGTAGATGGAAATTATGTGTGATACACTACAGGGGTATAGACAGATATTTTTTTTCAGATTGGGAAGAGGGGAAGGCGCCTTCTTGATTATAGGAGGGCACCTTTTTGAATTGGTCATGTTTCGCTCTTTATGCCATGGCGAGAAAAATTAAGGGGGGGGGGGCACACAGGTCTGGTGTGCCACCCCCTGGCTATGGCCCTGATACCCTACAAAGAACTGGAGTATGGCAGCAATACCCAATGGTTGCTACGTATATGTAAGAAAAGTAGATGATCATCTTTTCTCTCATGAACCAAAGGTACTGTGTCTGCAACAGGACACAGACACAGCAAGTGTTAGAAACACTACTATTTCACTGCAGATACATACAATGGCCAACAAATACGAACAGCAGGAGCCCGAAAAACATAATACGATTTAGCTGTCATTCCGTTGCTGTGTCAAAGACATTGAAAGTGTCTAAATGTGGACAAATAAAAACTAGTCTATTAAGCTACTTGCTGTACTTCTGTTTACAAAGAAGTACTCGGAAAACACTGCACAACTAAATAACCAGTTTATATTACAGCACATAAATCCTAGTACAAAAAAAAAGAAAAAGTGATACAGAGAAGTGGGACCTTCTTTCTTTGTTCTGTCTGTTTGTGCAGCCAATGTTATTGTAATAAGTGACATGAGGCAAAATAGAAAAGCAAACAAAGAATTACATTTACAAATGTTACAATTACATCATGGTTGTGAATAATAGGAATTACAGACAAGTGCAAGGTTCGATGAAAACTTGTCTGGTTGCCAAAACTCATGGCAGGAAATAGTAAACACCAAAAATCGTTGAAATGAGAACAAAAATGATGTTTTGCCTTATTATAAGGGCATTCTTCACAAATATTATTCGTGAAAAAGTTCCCCGATTTAGGCCAAACTAACAGTTCTGTTTTTGTTCTTTGCTAACAAGGCCCCTAATAAAGCATGTTCTTTTTATGTTAGTAAGAGCTCTCTAAGTTGAAGCCTAGCTGAGAGTATTATTGAAGGATAAAGACGTTTGCTTCAGAAACAGCACACAAACAGTTCATCAAGAATGAAAGCGAAAGAAACCAGTCTTTATAAAAAATACACATTTCACAAAAAGGCCGCTGCCTGTAGTGAAGCACTTCTATTAACTCCAACAAGAAAGTTCAAAGCGTTAAACAAAATTTAGTTCGCATACGGGTGAGCGGTGGAGTACGGAAAAATATCAGTTCAGTCTCATCAACTTGCAGAGGCTTGACGGGACACGAGCACATAGTTAATGCGAGTTCGTTGCTTGCAGCGAAGCAACACTGGCGACTGGAAACGCATCGATAAACCAGGGAGTAAGCCGAGAGCACAGCTTGGATCAATAGCCCGGCGAATGTTGCTTGCCTGTCGGTAGGAAAGTTTGCAGGCCTTGCGCTGGAGTTCAGGACCGGAGGGCTACGGTCTTCTCGAGCTGGAATGCAGCGACCGGAGGCCTGGCCGGTTGAAGTCTTCTTGGCTTGAGTCTGAAACCCCATGCGCATCTTCAGCGCCAAATTCAGTGACAACTTCCGCTCGGCAAGTCCTTTTCGAGCTCCCGCAGCTCTTCTGTGGCTCAGAATCTTGCTTGAACACCGGCCCACTTGATGCGTATTGATTGGGTGTGTCAAAACTTGTGGTCGGTTTCCATTGGCTTTTTTACTGTTGTAATATGTTCACGTCGCCCCACGCATCATCGTGCTCTTGCACGCGACGTCTTTACCATCGTTGTCTACGCAGCACCACGCGTGCACTCTGTCATCTCTCCTTCTTGTGATGAGCACTTTTCAAAGGTGCGCACTTCAAAAGTGCACCACACTCATCACACCCCCTTAGCAGGGCTGAAATGTCATTTCTGTTTCTGTTTCACCATCGTCGTCTACGCAGCACCGCGCATGCGCTCTGTCATCTCTTCCTTTTTGTGACACACACTTAAGGGAGATGCTACTCAAAACGATTTTCTTTAATAAGAGTCTGAATTTAACACAAATTGGCATGCTAATAGAGTTTTTTCTCCTCTTTTCAAATATGTCATTTATTTTCATGTAGATTGCTTGGTTTTCTTTCTGCAGGTCAGATACTGCAAAATTATGGCCATTGTTATGCAACAATTCTGACCTATAAAAATTTGAGATAAAGCATGCAGATATAGCTGACTATGATCCTTTGGAACTGTAGAGTGCAAAAGCTATATAAACTTTGTGTGTAAAAAGGTGAAATACAATAATAAAATAGAAAAATTGACTATGGCTCTAGTTGCCAAGGGCTTTCAATGTTATGTAATTTTTGAAAAACATAATCAAGCAGCCCTGACAATCTGAATAGATACTGGCTCTCTATGGGCCTTCATCATGCTATGTACAAAATTTCATGAGGTATGACAATTCTAAGTGTATGAACTAGCGTGTATAAAAAGCACAGATCACACAAAACTGCAAAAGAAGAAAAACGCATTTGAAAGTTTGAAACCTTTTTTTTTTTATCACAGAGTTGTTAGAAATGCATAATCTTTGGCCATAATGTTCAACAGAACTTTGAAAAGCACTGCAAGTTACTAGAACTGTCCTGCAGCATAGGTTGTGCTCTCACGGTCCTTGCGAGCACTCTCTTCTAGCTGTGCCCTTTTCACTCCCCGACGACGGTGGGCCTTTGCTTCTGCTGTCAGACGCTCGGGCATTCTCTTGATGCGCCTCGCATCGCGGGAATCCCTGAAAGTAACTTGATCTTAGATAGCAGTATGTTGAGCTCTTCCAGGATGTGCTCGAAAGTAGCATGACCCTTGTTGAACCACAGGATTGCCATAGCTGCGGCAGTCTCGACAACCGTTCGGGAGACGAACTTAGTCTTGGGACAAAGTAGCCAAATTTTGCTGTTCAGGGATTTCGATGCGTTCTGGGTTTCCCTTTGATGCATCGAGCAAGGAGCTTCTCATCGTTAGGCGCTTATAAATGGGCAAAACAGGCAATCCCTGTGCTTTTGTCAGGAGAGGTGTGCGGAGTGATGCAGGTTCACCAAGTGCTTCAGCACGTTGATGTTTGCACCACGACTCTGTTCCTGCAGGGCAAAACTTGTGGCTGCCAGCATTGTCAGTAGAGCATGAGTGGAAGTACGAAGCCCATACTGCAGTGTACATATCCCGTACACTCCCTCTGTTGCTTGTTATGGCAATCCGATAGTATGTTTGGAGCTTCTGAATGGCTGGCTCTTTCATTTTCTGCCTCTGGTAATGGCACATGCAGCTTCCGTAGCGCGGTGCCAAGTCTCTTGGCCTTATGATTAGTGCAGTCTTCTTTTTCTATATTGACAGCACCATAGACTTTTGACTCTGCAACTGCACTATATGCTTTGCTGTCACCGTCACTCAAGAATGTCATGAAATGCAGTGGGGTGTCATAAGTCAATGTTCTCTGCCAAATGCGCATTGCAGCCTCCGTTTCCATGGCATGGGAGGAACAGTCTGCATTTTTTTCACAGACTGGGCCATGGAATGCCCGCCACACTTCTCGTCTCGGCCCATATCCTTGTGCCTACTGCATGTCAGACAGTAATTTGATATGACCTCGAAGTCTAAGCAGAAGCCAGTATCTAAGGAGATAACTGCGCCAATCCCGTTGCCACATCACTGAAAGCCCTAGAAGTTTCGTCGGTCTCTGCTCTACTTTTCGTCGCTTCGTGCGCAACTTCGCGTCTATCATCGCACCTCTCACGAGTCTGCTTTCCAACAGCAAAGGATTATCTGCATAGTCACCTGCATGTGACGACGCATTTCGCCAGCTGCGCCGCCTGCTGACCTCACCACCTATTCTTCGTCACTACGACCCCGCTGCTGCCACAAAAATTCACACCAATGCAAGTGGCATCGGTCTTGGTGCAGTTTTGGCATAACGGAAAGGCATCCAAGCCGAATACGTAGTTGCCTATGCAAGTCGCGCTCTCAAGAAGGCTGAATTGAATTACTCCGTGACAGAGAAGGAGTGTTTGGCCATGATCTGGGCCTTGACGAAGTTTCGCCCATACGTTTACGATCGTCCTTTCGACATGGACACAGACCACCACGCTCTATGTTGGCTGTCCCCATTGAAAGACCAGTTCGGACGCCTGGGACGTTGGGCACTTCGATATCAAGAATACGACATGCGTGTCGTATATCGTTCCGGTCGCAAGCATGCGGATGCCGATGCACTTTTGCGATCGCCATTAACCCCAGATGTGGCTTTTCTGTCACGCCTTTTTACCCCATTGTCACCAATAGACACCACTGACATGCTTTCGGAGCAGCGTAAAGATCCATACCTTGCATTGTTACTCGACTACCTTACCGATCCGTCTGCTGTCTCTTCCACGAGAGCGCTACGCCGACAAGCAGCCCACTTTTCCGTGCGAGACAGCATTCTGTACTGCCGCAACTACATGCCTGGTGGTCGGAAGTGGCTCCTTGCTGTCCCAACTCATATGCGCTCTGACATCTGCATGAATTTCTATGCAGACCCCCAAAGTGCTCACGCAGGTGTCCTGAAAACCTACGAAAGGCTGCGCCAACGATATTACTGGCGAGGAATGTATCGCTTTGTGCAGAAATACGTTCAGTCTTGCACCACTTGCCAACAAAACAAGGCACCTCCGCGGCACCTTACTGGCATGTTACAGGCGCTCCCATGCCTGGCTCGCCCATTCGACCGCGTGGGTATCGATCTCTATGGCCCCCTCCCATATAGTCACTCTGGAAACCGGTAGATTATTGTCGGCGTAGGTCATTTGACACGCTACGCTGAGACTGCAGCTCTAGCGGCAGCGACGGCCCACAAAGTTGCACTCTTCATTCTGCGCAGCTTCATTCTCCGCCACGGGGCTCCACGGGAATTACTCAGTGATAGGGGTCGAGTGTTCCTGTCGGAGGTCATCCAAGCTGTTCTCCCTGAATGCAACATCATCCACCGGAA